TTTTTTTTCTATAGTTTGTTTCCCCAGTGAGACTCCCATGGAGAAAGCTAAATTTTCATTTGCAAGTGGTTATCAAAAGAGATGGCTTCTGAGATAGAGATGGGCAAGTTTGGCCTCTTCTCCTTTAAGCTCTAGGACCCAATCAGGTGTAGACCTTTGCAGGCCCTGTGTCTTCATACTGTTTGGATTGTTCATACTAATCCCTAACCCACTGGATTGTGTGGCTAAGCTGATGAACAAGCTATCCTGGTACAGTCACTTCATTACCTAAAACACAATCTTATATCCCACAGAGGGTACTTCACACATCATGATCAAAGATATCAGATAAAGCCTCTGCAAGGCACAGATGAGGGGGAACATGCCGTCCTTCCAGACAGCCAGGGGGAACCAGACACCGCTAAATACAAGCATGCTGACGAGCATGCTGGCAGGAAACGAAGCCATCTTCGAATCTCCAGGTCATTAAAAAGCCCAAATGTGAGTATAGCTTTAAAGCCTATGTATTTTGGCTGTCTAAGCAAGGACATAAGGTGCACAGGTTTATTCAGAAACAACTGATATATGTAAAGTCTCTGTTTACATCTTTTTAAATTTATTTTGGGGAAGAAAATGTAAGCACCTGAATCAGTGTGAGTAGAGATGATTATTAATGAGGATCTCTTGTTATCTGTAAAACAGGAAGACCCCCTTCAAGTGCAGAAATACCTTAACCTCTTCTTGGTGCTGGATAACGCCTTTGTGAGTACAACAGATGGGTGCGGCTTTCCTAGTTCTCCCAACTGACGAGTCAGATTAAAAGAAGCCATTAGACTTGTTTGTTTTCTGTTGGCCTAGACTTTTTGGCTGCTTTGTTGACAACAGTTTTCACACATCCCATGCCACTTATTATGAATCGGTCACCAAATATTTATCTGCAGGTAATAGACTTAGTACTATAGACCTATGATCCAGTTTGCTTTCTGTTGCTGTGGTAAACACCATGGCCAAAAGCACCTTGGGGAGGGGAAGACTTATGTGCCTTACAACTTAACAGTAATTGTCAAGGGAATCCAAGGCAGAAACTCAAGTCAAGGCCTGAAGCAGAGACCATGTAGGAACAGCTGCTGGCATGCTGTCCTGGCCTGCTCAGTTACCTTTCGTATACAGCCCAGCTCCACAGAGATGCCCAGTCTGATAAAGGCTATTCTTCAATTGATGTTCTTCTTCTTAGGTGATTCCTATAACCAGCATGTGCCTATAAGCAATGAACCATAAAAACATTAAAGAAAAATATTCTACTAAAGTATTAGATTGTTTTAAAAGTTTACTATAAAATGTAGATATAAATTTAATAGATATTATGCAAATATGAACACAAAGCTATACACAATTTACAAAAATATAAATATAAGGAAGCTAGACTTTATGCTGTCTCATAATCAAGCCTGAATTAATATTTAGTGAATGCAAGATATTTAAACTATTAATTTGATGTAGTCAAATTAAAAATAAATAAGAAAACCCAGTTCTAATCCTAAAGTCCAAATTCGGAATGCTGAAGCAGGAAGATCATAAGTTTAGTGAAATCTTGACTGTGGTCTGCCTCATGCCAAACCAAGCCAAATAAACAAAGAGAAAGATGAAAGACATTATTATGAATGCCTAACTTTTATCTTATATAAACCTCTATATTTGAGGTAGAATTTGTTGAAATAGAATCTAATATAAGGTAGCCATGAATTGATGAGATGTTAACTATGTTAAAACATGTAAAATTTCTATTTAATCCTCTTACCACCAGCCTTCTCACTTCAATGTTCTATTTTAATTTTGTGTTTTTCAGTATAAGATGCATAATGGGAATGTGACTCGGATAAGAAGCTTTGTGTTTGAGGTGCTGAACTTGCTCAATGTGGTAAGGCATTTGTCATGTATGTGTGTTTCTATACCTGTGCCTGGGGCTTCCCCTGTGAAGGACACTGGATGGGGCTAAGAGTCACCTAAGGGGGAGAGCTCATCAAGGTGAAAAATCATAGACAGTAACAAAGGCATCTTCTAGAATTTCTGTTTTCATGATGGAAATTTATGATATTTATGGCATCCCTTTATCATCACCTGTGGTCCCCAAGGGTGCTAAAACTAAGCCTAAATGTTTTAATTAAAAAATATGTTCTTTCCACAGATTTTCAGAACCGTTGGTACTCGAGTGTCTTTGGTGGATATGGAAATCTGGTCTGACAGCGATAAGATAAAGGTGGTACCCGAGATTGGGACCACATTCCGAAGCTTCATGAGATGGCACTACTCTGTGGTGGGGAAAAAGAAGTTCCATAACCATGCCCAGCTTCTCAGGTGAATCTCTTCTTGCCAGGGCACGGATACAAAGACAGAGTGGGCGGTTATCTCCAAAGTGGCTTGACAAGAATTTCTCCTCAGTCATATCTCTTGAATAAGTTGTTAAGTGGCTTGATCACTACTTAACTACCATTAGCAAGAGACCCACCAATTATGGGAAGGTCATTATCAGATCAATAAAAAGCACATTCTTGGATGCAAAATATTCACCTGTAATTGTGGGCCTGTGGTATGGTAGAATCTGTGCTGGAGCCTCATGAACATACAGAAGGCTAAGGGGACACCGAGGGATGTTTATAATGTCATTCCCCAAAGCTTCCGGTTTCCAGAGTCAGATTGTGATAGGACCTCTCTACTTTTACACAGTGGATCTGGCTTCCTCCAAGGGCGTGTAGGAATGGCAGCTTCGAAGTCCTTGTGTTCTACATCGTCAGTGTCCGTTATTGAGGTTTGTATACTTCTACTAAGACTCCCTGTGATTCCATCGCTGTGAAGATGAGTGTCATGCCCTGTACCAGAGGAATCACCATGGCCATCAGCTGAATTGATAAATTAAGTTAGACATTAAACCAGTTTTGACCATTGCACTGTAGAGTCGTTGGATAATAAAATGTTAGCTTTGCCAAAGGCCTCTACTTCAGTTTATATCAAAGAATGAGGCTCACAAGGTTGAGACCAAAAGGGGAGTTAGGGTCCTCTGGCCTCAGAGAGCCCTAAATGAATCCTTTGCTATAGCCGTTCAGAGGTCAGACAAGGAAAAACCTCATGTAAGGCCTTCATGTGGCCATTGCTACCAATGGCATAAGAATTACAACCTCAGTTTCATAGATGTGGCCATACCATAGCAACTAATAGTACTTTGCATAAAGAATGCAATTAATCTAACTCTCATTCACTGAGAATTCAGGATATAATATAGTTCAGTATTCACCAATTGAGCTAGAGCACTGAGTATTCTTAGGAGCCAACCATTTCAGATATACTAAGCTAAAAGCAATAGTTGGAAAACGAGTTTAAGGGGACACTATTCTTCCTTTCCCAAATACTCATATTAGACATTACACAGAGACAAAGACTGAGAAATTACTGGGTAAAACAAGACGTAACAGGTGCTTCTATTTGTCCAGGCTAAACGAAAGAACGGTGTGACTCTTGCAGCAGTGATGTCACATGAGTTGGGCCATGCCCTTGGTATGAAGGACGTTGTCTATAGTACCAGGTGTCCCTCTGGCAGCTGTGTGATGAATCAGTACCTGAGGTAAGATGATATTGTCCCAAAGTAAAGAGAAAAGTTTTCCATTCCCAAATAAATGTACTGCGCGTATGTGGTAGGAGCACCTTTTCACAAAGACTGGCTGTTCTATTCTTTTAACCTGCAGCTTCTTCATTCATGCATTTTACCAAATTCAAGGCTCATTCATTAAGATTTCTAAATATACCATCATAGAATTTATTAGTATGCCAATGACATCATTTTAACTTAAGGTTCTTTTAATTTGAATTGATATCTTATTTCCCCCAAAAAACTATCCTGGTTAAAATGTTAATTTTAGTCGAAGACAGCCAAGATAAACCTATCTCCATCCCCATCACCAGTTGAGCTTCTATTTTAACATATTCATTTATTATTTCATATTGCCAGTTACTTTCCCAAGACTTCAAGAAATGTGAAGATGTCATTGGTTTTTACTGCTATGTAGTACTCTGTTGTATAAATGTACCACATTTTCTTTATCCATTCTTTAGCTGAGGGGCACCTAGGTTGTTTCCAGGTTCTGCATATTACAAATAACACTACTATGAACACAGCTGAGCAAATGTTCTTGTGGTATGAGGGTGCATCCTTTGGGCATATGCCCAAGAGTGTTATTGCTGTATCTTGAGGTAGACTGATTCCCAATTTTCGGAGAAACCGCCACACTGATTTCCAAAGTGGGCTGTAAAAGTATGACTCTACCAGAAATGGAGGAGTGTTCCCCCTCACTCCACATCCTTTCCAGCATAAGTTCTCTTTGGTCTTTTTTATCTTAGTCATTCTGACTGGTATAAGATGGTATCTCAGAGTCATTTTGATTTGCATTTCCCTGATGGCTAAGGATGTTCAGCAATTCCTTAAGTGTCCTTCAGCCATTTTCAATCCTTCTGTTGAGAATTCTTTGTTTAGGTCAGCAACCCATTTTTGATTGGATTATTTGGTAATTTGATGTCTAGTTTCTTGAGTTCTTTACATATTTTGAAGATCAGTCCTCTGTCCAATGTGGGGTCACTGAGGATCTTTTCCTATTTTGAAGGCTGCTGTTTTGTCTTAGCGACTGTGTCCTTTGCCTTACAGAAACTTCTCAGTTTCAGGAGGTCCCATTTATTAATTGTTGCTCTCAGTGTCTGCACTATTGGGGTTATATTTAGGAAGTGGTCTCCTGTGCCCATGCATTCAAAGCTACTTCCCACGTTCTCTTCAATAAGGTTCAATGTGGCTCAATTTATGTTGAGGTCTTTGATCCATCTGGACTTGAGTTTTGTGCACAGAGATAGATATGATTCTATTTGCATTCTTCTACATGTTGGCATTCAGTTATACTGGTACCATTTGTTGAAGACACTTTCTTTTTTCCATTGTATAGTTTTAGCTTCTTGGTCAAAATTCAGGTGTTCACAGATGTATGGATTAATACCAGGGTTTTCAATTCGATTCCATCTGTACACCTGCTTGTTTTTGTGCCAATATCAAGTGGTTTTTATTACTGTATCTGTATAACAGAGTTTTATGTCAGGGATGCCAATGCTTTCAGAAGTTCTTTTATTGTAGAGGACTGTTTTGGCTATTCTTAGTTTTTTTTTCCATATGAAGTTGAATATTGTTCTTTCAAGGTCTGTAAAGAATTGTGCTGGGATTTTGATGGAGATTGTACTGAATCTGTAGATTGCTTTTGGTAGGATTGCCACTTTTACTGTGTTAATCCTACCTATCCAAAAGATATTCATTTTTTTTATATTTTCAACAATTTTTTTCAAAGACTTAAAATTCTTGTTGTACAGGTCTTTTAGTTCTTTGGATAATGTTACCCCAAGATATTTTATGTTATTTGTGGTTATTGTAAATGGTGATGTTTCTCTGATTTCTTTCTCAGGCCATTTGTATATAGGAAGGCTACTGATCTCTTTAAAGTTTATCTTGTAATCTGCCACATTACTGAAGGTGTTTATCTGCTGTAGGAGTTTCCTGGTAGAAATTTTGGGGTGACTTAATGCATACTATTATATCATCTGCAAATAGCAAAAGTTTGACTTCTTCCTTTCCAATTTGTATCCCTTTAATCTTCTTTGGTTGTCTTATTGTTCTAGCTAGAACTTTGAGTACTAAGAGAAAACATTCAATTAGAATATTACACATACTTCACTAGCCACCATAGGCAGCAGAGAGATGTTCTAGACAGTGGCTGCATTTGGTGTTTCCACTGAACTTGGTCCACAGTGAAATATAGTAGATTTTTTATTTAATATTCTGTACTGTGCGTAACGCTGATCTGTTTTTTTCTGTTACAGTTCAAAATTCCCCAAGGATTTCAGTACTGCCAGTCGCTCACTTTTTAAAGGGTTCCTTTCCTCTAGAAGTGGAAGATGTCTGATGCAGGCACCTAATCCTAAAAACTTCATAAAATTGACATGTGGGAACCAAGTTCTGGAAACAGGGGAAGGCTGCGACTGTGGATCTCCTGAGGTATGAATATAAATGGTGCTTAAAGTTGTGTTTATCAAGATTTCAAAGCAGAACGACTGGGTAAAAGTTATATACGTTAATTTTCCATTTTCGTCTTTAAATTATTTTATTTTATGTTTTGTGTGTGTGTGTGTGAGAGAGAGAGAGAGAGAGAGAGAGAGAGAGAGAGAGAGAGAGAGAGAGTATTTATGTGAATACACATAACATGGAGACCCAAGAGAGAGCATCAGACCTCTTGGAACCGGAGATAAAGGTAATTTTGAACTGGCAAACATGGGTGCTGCGATCTGGACCCTTGTCCTCAAGACTGTTCAGCAAGTGCTCTTAGCTGCTGAGCTATCTCTCTAGACTCCTTTAATTTTTTTTGTAGTGTTCCTTTAGAAATTTGTTCAGGAGATGAAATTGGTGCTTTGCTTTTGATTTTAGTTAACTACCCCATGAAAAGTGTGCATGCACACACCCTCCGATCCACTGATAAAACCCACCAACATCTGTTCATGGCATCACACAAAGCCAAATGTAAAGAAGGAGTAATTGCCCACAGCATGCCACATTCCTTGTAGACACTTGGAAATTCCTAATTTTAGGGCTTTAGGAATTGGTGAATCCATGTGAATTAGTGATTTAGCCATTATTTTTGACAGCTCTTTGACAATGTAGAAAGCATCTTAGATTTCAGAGAATCAAGACATTTGTGCAGAAGTTTGAATTGTGTATCAGATTCTTCATGTAGTTTTGTCAGGATTTGATTACTTATTTGAAAGTACCTTCATATTTTCTTTTGTGTTGTCTAAGGTTTTCTTTTTGATACTGGTAATGATTTATTGATATTATCTTTGATGTCATTTTACTATTATCTTAGACACTTATCAAATATTCTTAAGAGTTGACCCCAATTTATTCTATGGAGATAATCATTACACATTTCAATAACACTATTATCCAGGCAAGGTTAAAAAAACAAATTTTAATTTTAATTGAAACTTTTCCTCTAATTTAACATCATTTGAATAGTTCAGAAAGGTTCATCCTTGAAATTTTCAGTAGATTTAAGTGCAGTACCTTCCAGACAAAGTTAATTTGAGGAAATTCTTTGTGATTTTTCTCCTCTTGGTCTTTAATGACAGTGTTCCCTGAGCACAGCATTTCCTCCTCTCGTTGCCTTTCCCTGGTTAAGGCCACTGGAATTGGTACAAAAGAGTGGATATCTTTAAAAAGAGAAACCTCTATGATCAGGTCTGAGATCATTGCACTAAAAATAAGAATTTACAGGGAAGTTTCATTTTTGTCCCTCTAGCAGGATAAACAATAGAAGCTTTAGCCTTGGATCTCATAAACTCCTCAGCCATGGATTCTTGACCAGGTTTCCAGTACCAGGCATGAGTTTCCTCCTGTGTCCAATCAGAAAGCAATTGGCTACCCCCATCACATTAGATTGCACAGCAGTAGACAGCCCCTCACTTAGGAGTATATGGGTTATTAAAAGTAAAAGAAAGCCGGGCCTGGTGGCAACACTTAAGAGGCAAAGGCAGGCAAATCCATGAGTTCAAGGCCAACCTATTCTACATAGGAAATTCTAGGACAGTCAGTACTACATAGAGAGATGTCTCAAAAGAAAAAAAAAGGACACAAAGTTAAGAAGGAATGGAAAGGAACAGGGTGGATCTGGGAGAAACGATCCCCCTGGGGGTACAGCAGGGCTAAATATGATCATAATATATTCTACTAAATTCTCAAATAATAAAATATGATACTTTAAAAAGTGAAATTTTCATTTGCTGTTATAATATACTCGGGGACTGTTCTGTTTGTTCTTTGTAGGAATGTACCAATCTCTGCTGTGAGCCCCTCACATGTAGGTTGAAATCCCCACCTGCCTGTCGAAAAGAAGCATCCAACCATGTCACGTGAGTACTGTCTTGTCCATGTTCCCCAAATGTCTTGTTGCTTTTCTTCTAGATTTCAGAAAGGTGTCCTCCTGGGCTCAATAACACACTGAAAGCAAAGTTCACCTGCACTTTTTAAATGACTTAATTTTGTAGAGAAGAAAGAAAGCAGTATACACAAAATTAAGGCTGTGTGGTTGGTCATGTATGTATGAGAAAATGGGTTACTCCGACATTTATGAGATTAGAGTTCCAGACACTTCTGTCAAAATTGGTTTCATTTCCTATAGTTAACATGTTAGCATGAAAAGAATTAAAGTGTACTTCTAACAAGACTTGATTGATGAGATGATAGGGATTTTTTGCTAGGTAGTCAGAAATCAATCATCTTTAAAAACTCAATGTAAGCTTTGACAGTTTTATTTTTTTTCATAGTGTTTCGATGGATTATAATCCAGGTATTGTTTTGGGAAGGCCTGAAGATCTGTGTGGTTTGGGGTAGGGAAACAAATGGCTTGGCATATGGCATTAGGTTTTTGTTTGAGTATTAAGTGGTCTCTGTACATAAAGACTATAACAACAACAGGTATCAGAAAGCTGGGATTCAGGAGACGTGATAGGGGAAGAGTTGTTCTGTGCCCTTTTCTCAGACATTTCCAGGAATGAAAAGTGCAGGGACAGTGAACTAGAATAACCAACTCCAACACCATTCAGGATCACTTCCTCAGGAAAGGAACAAAGGTAAAAGGAAAATGAGGATTCCTTTTCTGTTTACTAAGCACTGTGGAATAATTCAGTGAACCTTCTTATGGGTCCGCTTGGCAGAGAATTCTGGAAATCATGCCAAGACCAGAAGCAGATGTACAGAGAAGCAAAATGCAGAGCAAACAACCAACCAAAAACCTTAGTTCCTTCGAGAGCTGGAATGACAGATACCTATGCTCCTTTCTACATAAAATAGAAAGTTTAGCATCGATGGAAGAACATATAAATAAGCTTGGAATCTAGATATTTAAATTCCAGTCTTAATTCTGCCAAAACACTGTGAAATTGAAGACAAGTTACTGAACTCCTTCCCTTCTTGTGCCATGAAATTACTTACTGATGTGTTCCCCCAGTGAGGCTGCTGGCCTTGTTTGAAGTCTATAAATGTCCATTTGTGTCAGTCAAGAATATTTTATTAGATAATAACCACAACCTCTGTGTTTTGTTTTTCTTTAATTAGAAAATGATCCAGTGTGTACTTCCTTGAGAAGCTGCTCTGCCAGGACCAAAGTCTAGAACCTGATACACCAGGAGTCTTGCCTAGTTTCACTTTGTGCTTTTATGTAGACTTGCCTCTGAATGTAGCGTGGGAATCCATAGATTTAGTCACTGGACAGTAATATCCCCAATCACACTTGTGTCTCTAGTGACTGTGTAGACAGTTTCTCAATTTCTCCTAAATAATACAGTGTAACAACTATTTGCACAGCATTTTCATTGTCAAAGTTATTAGGTGTTAGAAGTAGTCTTGAGATGACAAAACATTTAGAAGACTTTCAATAGTTGTAAACAAATATACTCCAGTTCTTATAAGGGACCTCCAGTCCAAAGATTTAGGTATCTGTATGTTCCTGGAGCCAATCCCTACTAGACACTGAAGAAAGACTTTTGCTTTTCTCTTTCCATCCTACTTTGCATTCCAGTCAACAGATCAACAGATGTGAGATGTTGCCTATAGGTGTAGGTTTTATCTGCGGTGTGACTGCGAGAACCCTGAAGGTGTAGTTTTTGTTTCAGTCTTTGGAAAACAAAAGAAATGAACCTTTGCTGAAACCTCAACACATTCCACTGAATGGTTGAGTTGATCCCAAACTGCAAAAGGACAAGTGATTTAACACTGAATCCCTCTCCTAGTATAGGAAAGGCAGAGCCCCAGTCCCTTGCTGTCCTTCACTTCATCCAACTCCTGTAAATGTCCCAGCTTTGCTATCTCTTGGAATATTGATTACATCCAAACACTTTCCATGTGATCAAATATAGTTTCTCACATTTCTCTCACTGTCATGTGTAAGATTTATTTTAAGAAATCTGTTATTTGCAACTTAGTGGAAATGGAAAGATAAGGCTTCATTTATTGGTTGATGTAATAAACTGTGCTATCAATAAAAACAGTGAATCCGCAAAACAATGACTTCTCGAATTTTGCATGCAAATGGATGGAAATAGAAAACACTATCCTGAGCGAGGTAACCCAGACCCAAAAAGATTAACATGGGATGTATTCACTCATAATTGGTTTCTAGCCATAAATAAAGGTCACGGAGTGTATACCTGGTGAACCTAA